AGGGGCCTCTGGCAACCTTTCTGCCCCCACGAGGGCACTGACTGCAGGTGCAGAGGCCAGGAGCTGCTCCCTCCCTGTAGGGATGAAGGGCTGTGTCTCTGGTGTCTCAGGTGGAGGACCCGTCACTCCGTGCACCCTGGCCTTGGCCGTGGTGCTGGAGGTGGGGTTGAAGAGAAGCCAAGGAGAAAAGAGCCTGCAACTCAGACATCTCAGCTCCCAGCTACACACAGAATTTCAGCTAATTCCTAACCCGGTTGACCAGATCTATTTATTTTCAGCTGAATAAGCAATCGATCAGAGTTGATTTTCTAAAGAAAATATTCCCCGGGGCAGGCACTTGGCACAGCTGTTACGGTGCTGCTTAGGATGCCTGGAGCCCATGTCACAGTGCCCGGCTCCACTCCTGACTCCAGCTTCCTGCCAACGCACACCCTGGGAGGCGCAGGTCACAGCCCAAGTACTTGGGTCCCGGCCACCCGCATGGGGGACCTGGATGGAGTTCTGGGCTCCTCGCTTTGGCCCAGCGCAGCCTCAGCTGTTGTGTGCATTTGTAGAGTGAACCAGTATATGGGAGACCTCTGTCCGTCTGTCTGCTTGTATGTATGTACGTCTCTGTCCCTCTGCCTTTCAGACACATAAAGACAGGTAAATAAGCATTCTGACCTAGAAAATGTGCCCTTTTGGCAGGAGAAGCGAGTCTGGGGGATGGAGCCCCCACCTCTGAGCCAGCATCTGTGTGCTGAAGCCAAGGGGGCCTCACACCTCACCCCAGTGCAATGAGAGGTATGGAGGGAGTGTGGCCTCTACAGAGACTCAGGACCCCTGAGGCGTGAGGCCGGCAAGGGCGGTGATTCGGAGAACAGATGGAAAAATGTTTTGGGGGTGGGCAATGAAGAAAGCAAATTGCAGAGCCCTAGTCTAGATCCCTCATTCCCCAAGGATCCAAGGCACAGAGGCCCCTTCTTGGGGGAAGGGCGAGGGTGGCAGGGACTTGGGGGCCTCCTGGGCCTGCCACGGTGGTCCTCCAAGCTGGAGACAGAACCCCAGACTGCACCAAGAGGAGGCCAGAGCGGGGCCCGAGCTTCCCCCCACCCCACCCCCCCCGCCTGGAGCTGAAGGCAGACAGGAAGCAATGTGGAATGCAGGAAGAATCAGTAGGTCCCTGGAGATTTATTAACGGGAGGAAAATGTGCCTATATTCCTGGGCTCCAACAAACTCAGGAACCTTCGTCAGCGGAGACGGACGTGAGGCATCAGCAAGGATTTCCTGGTGCCACCATGCTGCTGGGCACCTTGGGGCTCGGCTGATTACCTGATCACTGATTGGCCGACAGCAAGGAGGCACCATGGATGGGGGGGGTGTGAAAAAGGAGATGGAATGGCGGATGGGGCCGGGCACACAGGTGCACCACCTGGCTCCCCTGCTGATCAGCTCTGAGCTCATCAACGACCCAGACTGAGCCTCAGTTTGCTCTTCTGCAAAATGAGGTGCTACCTGTGACAGAGAGGATCAAAAGATGGGTGTGAGTACCCAGCACAGCAGGCCTGTGGGCCATCAGGTGAGCTCAGCTCCTGCCTGGCCTCCCTTCCTTCTCCAGCCTTCTCCACCCTACTCCACTCTCTTCCACATCTGCAAATACCAGGCGTGAGACAGCGACCCCTGCCAGGGAGTGCACGCCCACCCTGCTGTGACCTCAGGGCAGAGGATGCAACAGATACTCTGTTAACCTGGGATCCTGACAACGAATCGCACGTGGTGCTGGGTGTCTGGTATAAAGGTGTTGCTCTCCACTGCCGCCCGACAAAGCACCTGCAAGCAGTGGTGGACACAATGGGAGTTGCTTGTGCTTCCCGGGAATGTGGAGTTTGGCTGGGCTCTGCAGGGCGGTTCTTGCTCAGAGTCTCTCATGAGTGACTGCCCGGTGGCATCAACCCAGCGGCGTCTCAGTCGGGCCTGGCGGCCAGAGCTGGCTGTCGCCAGGTCTCAGTCGGAGCCAACAGTGGGAGCATCCACAGCTGGCTTCTTCTTGGGCCTTGGTTTGCTCACAGCAAGGCCTCTGGGTTTCCAAGAGCAGGTGTCCAGAAGGAAAGAGAGAGGGAGAGAGAGAGAGAAAGGAGCCAGGTGGAGGTGGAACTGCTTTGTTGGGCCCAGCCTTGGAATGGGGCAGCATCACTCCCACCATGCAGTTTTCACCAGGAAGTTTTCACCGGAAGCGAGTTGCTAAGGCCGGCGCTTCATCAAGGGGATGCAGTGAAGTGAGCCGCAAACACTACAAACTCCTGCAGACGGATGTGTCGCAGTCTCGAGTCACTGGGACTCAGAGGGTGGAAACTTAACCCAGTGTCGGGGTGTGGGAGGCGGGCCCCATGGGAGGGCCTGAGGCCCTTGGAAGGGGCTCTCCTGAGAGGGCTGGCGTGGGCACCACCTCTCTGCTCGCTGGCTCCCCACGTGAGCGCCCCTGCACGCTCACCCTGCCATCGCCCTCCTCCAGCCTCACCGGACACCAGGCCCAGCAGGCCTGCCTGACCCTGAGCTGTGACCCTGCAGAGCCATCAGCAGACGTAGGCTTCCCTCCACCATGGGCTGCCCGTGTCGGCACGTCCCTCAGTGACAAAGACCTGAGTAACACAGGAGGGCTCGGAGACTCTGCCCGCGGAAGGGAGGCGTGCCCTGGACTTCACAGATGTGCCACGCGTGACCATCTGCAAGGTGGCGGGACCCACACATGACACACATGTGAGGGAGCTCAGACCCAGCACAGACAGCTGCTGTGTCTATGTGCGATCGTTGGACTCCTCTTGATACTTTTCTGTACTGTTGAAATACTTCAACACACACACACACAGAGGTACACACAGAAACTCAGACCCGGAACCTCGGTTTCCCTAGGGGGTTGTGATAAAGGGAAGTTGGGGTCCTGTTAGTAGGAAGTGGTTCAGTCCCCCGAGGAGCAACGCTGCCTATGGGACTCTCATGGATAATAGAAGAGACGCAGCCCACCAAGGGGGGCTCCCAGGCTTAGTGGAGGTACAGCTCCATCCTCGGGGAGCCCCAGTCTGAAGGGTGAGGCACAACAGCCCTGTCCTCGGGGAGCCCCAGTCTGAAGGGGGAGACACAGCCCTGTCCTCAGGGAGCCCCGGTCTGAGGGAGGAGACACTGCCCACCAAGGAGGGCTCCCAGGCTTAGTGGAGGTACAGCTCCATCCTCGGGGAGCCCCAGTCTGAGGGGGGAGACACAGCCCCATCCTCAGGGAGCCCCAGTCTGGGGGGCACAGCCCCATCCTCAGGAAGCCCAGTATGAGGAGAGAGACAGAGCCTCATCCTCAGGGAGCCCCAGTCCGAGGGGGGAGACAGCTCCATCCTGGGGTGCCCCAGTCTGATGGAGGACTATGTCACTCATCTTTAGGGACTTCCGGGTCCTATCTTTATGTATTAAACTTGGGTGTGGAGGTTGTCTCTGCTCTCCAATTTTTTGGAAGACTGCAAGCAATGAATTGGTGAGGGGAAACTTACTCACGGAGGCTCCTGAGACACTGCCCTCCTGGGTTTCAGCGCCACTGCACAGGAAGGGCGAGGAGGGGGCGCCACGGGACAGAGCCGGACCCCCAGTCCTGTGGCCACAGCAACCCTGACATGGCCGTCCTCCCTGGAGCGACGAGAACCAGAGACCCGTCTAAGACAAACACCCACGTGGGACGCACAGCTGGGCCGGGGCTAGAACCTGGCCTAGGAGGCCCACAGCTGGGGCTGTGTGAGGACTGCCCCGTGGGATTTTGGGGAAGGGGGCGAGGTGCATGCTCAGGGTGGGGGTGGGGGAGTTCGCACTCACCCCTCAAGGCGATGCCAGGGCCCACATCTTGGTCTCCTGCTCCCGCTCGGTCCCACTGGACTCGGGCGGCAAGGGGGAGGAGGCTGCGTGCATGTCTGGCTGGGCCTGGGAGCCCGGGAGCCAGGGGAGCTGGGACAAGGCCAAGTTCTCTCTGAGCCCCCATGGCCTCTCTCTAGGCCCATGCTGGGCAGAGCTGTTACGGACGGAAGCCGCCTGGGCAGGCACGCACCTGCCTGCTGGGAAGAAGCGCTCCTGTGGTCACGTTTTAAACCTTCAGAGCAAAACTCCATTATTTTTGTTTTGGGGCGGTGAAAGCCGATGGCCAATACCGAGGCTTGTAGGAGATCGGGTCAGAGACCAGCCTAGATTTTTATCATTCATTCACTCCATTTCTGACATTGCTGGCACCGCACTGGGCCCTGGGCAGGAATCGAAGTCCTGGTTCTTGTTCTCCTGGAGTGACAGTTTGTCACAAGGGACACATTTTATTAAAGGTTTTATTAGAACCTTATTATTTACTTGAGACAGCGAGAGCATGCACGCTGCCATCTGATGGCTCGCTCCCCACGTGTCTGCAAAGACCAAGACTGGCTCATGCCAACAGCGGGACCCGGGAGCTCCCTTTGGGGCTCCCGCGTGGGACACGGGCATCTTCATCACTCGGCTCGCGAGCTGCCCGGAAAGATGCGCTTTAGACAAGCGACCAAGGGCGCCGAGCGGCCAGCACAAGGACCTCAGGCACCTGCAGAAGGGCACGGGGGAGCCGCCTGCTCTGGGGGGAGAGGCTGGCGCCTGGCAAGCTGGTGCTCCCGGGGAGAAGCGGAGGAAACCGGCCCACCGACCGGGAGAAGTCTCAGTGAGTCCCTGCGTCCTCTGTGGCAGAGGACAAGGAGCGATGGATGGCGCCCCCTCGCAGCTCTGGGCCCTGGGGATGGCTCCGACGCCCGAGCTCCCCAAGCCACTTGGCCCGGTTGATGGCCCATGTCCTCCCCCACATCCCTCCGCCCCACTGAGGGCACAGGGGGGCTCCTCTTCCAGACCTGCCCTGGCCAGAGACAGCCTCTGCATTCTCCCGCTCATCATTTTGCCCTACTGCTCTCTCAGGGGCTCCCTAGATGCGCCTCAGTTGTCCCACCTTTAAAATGGGAATGATATGGGTACCCACATCATAGATTAAAAAGTTAGTAAAGCAGAAGTTGTTAGAACAGTTCCTGGCATACAGTAAAAGCTCCCAAACCGTTGTTGTCCCGTGGGTGGAGGCCGGGGCTCCCTCTCTGTTCAGCCCCTTGAAGAGGACGTGTGTAGCTCTTGATGGTAGTAACACAGATGCGGATGGTGGTGTAGCCGTGCTGGAGGGTGGTGACCGACACTCAGCCAGGTCGTGGACGCAACAGCATTGACCCAGCCAGTGGTGGGGTCCTGGGGGGGGGTTCCTCCCACTCACTCCCGGAGTACACGGGCGCTTAGCTGTTTCCGCTCTCTTCTCATAGTCTCTGATGTGTGATGCGGCTGGGGAAGTCATAAAGAAAGCGGTCGAGCGGCTACAGCTGGGGAGGGCCCCCACTGCGTCACAATCGGCCGATGACATCACAGGAAGGGCGCCCAAGGGAGGGACAGGGAGCTGGAGCCGAATGCCCCCTGCAGCAGCTGTCCACTCTTAGAGCGCCAGACCCCAGCCCGCAAGAGCCCGCCCACTCCTGCAGGGAGCGGTGCCTCTGAACGAGAGTGACAGCCCAGCGAGCCAATCACCTCCGTCAGGGCTCAGGCGCTGCCACGCCCCCCACACAAACCTCTGAGAGCCACACCATATCTAAACCACAGCTCTGGGGGCCCACGTTTCGCATGAAGAGATGTTAGTGCAGAGACTCTCAGGGACGGGAGGGGTGAGGGAACCAGCAAAGAGGGACGCGGGAGCAGGTGTTCGGCCCAGTGGCTCGGACGGCTGGGTTCGGCTCCCAGCTCCAGCTCCTGGCTCCAGTGTCCTGGCAACGCAGACCCTGGGGGCAGCAGGGATGGGCCAAATAGTTGGGATTCTGCCACCCACACAGGGACCTGCACTGAGTTCCTGGTTCCCAGGTTCGGCCTAGACCAGCCTTTGTGAGCATTTGGGGAGTGAACCAGTAGATGGGAGCTCTCTCTGCCTCTCTCTTTCCCACTGGATGCACGATAATACTAATTTTACAATTTACCGTTTTGCTGGCTGTCTTTGCAACTGGTAGGGACTTTGGGATCGTGTCTGGGCAATTGCATGTGTGAGCAGAAACAGAGTGTGCAACCTCTGGTATAAGTCCCAGAAAGCAAGGGAGTGAGCTCTTCTTCTGCTCTTCCCTTGCCCCACCAGTCTGAATAGAGATGTAAGGGACGGGACTCCAGCAGCCGTCTTGGACCATGAGGTAATGCTGGGACTGGATGCGAGGAAGAGCAGAGAAACGAGATTCAGAAAGGAGCCTGAATGTGTGCAATGCCTTAGCAGCTCAGAGCTACTTCTGGATTTCTTAGAAGTGAGCAAGAAATAAGCTCTTGTCTTATTTAAGCCACTGCTACTTTGCATATTTGTTTGTTTTCTATGACTTCAGGCTGAAGCTAATTCTAACTGACACATCCAGGGACTGAATCTGGTCCCTAAGCATGTACTGTTTGCCCACACAGTAATATCCAAATATTTAAAACTCAAATCCAGAGGTTGAAAGCCAAGCTTTTTTTTCCCACCTAAAACCTGAATTATCACTTCTGAAACCACAGAAGATCTGCCGTGCTGGGGCTTGTGACTTCCGCCGGAAGCCGAGCGGCAGTCACCTCCCCTCGGCTGGGCGTGGGTCCTGCTGATCCCCTGAGCCAGCTGTGCTCGGCCTTCCTGCCAGGCTCCTGCTGGCCGAGTGTCAGGCGCTGCCCGTGCCCAGCCAAGGTGTGGCTCCGCCCTCTGGAGGGCCCCCCCTGCTCTCCCCTCTCCTTAGGAGCCTGGGCGACCCCGCCTTCCTTGCAGCTTTCAGGAGTCAGCCCCGGTCTCACCCATGGGGTGAGGGCTTTCCCCAGGGAGGCATTCTGGTTCTACCTGGAGGAAACCGGTGCAGCCCCCCGCCCCCCCGGAGCCACGGGGCCTGGGCCTGGGGCAGCGGCGGGACTCGTCCTGGGCTACGCAGCCAGGCTGCCCCGGAGTCAGGTGTCCCGAGCCCCGGCCCAGTGTCCCAAGTCCCCGAGTCTGCAGATGTAATCTGTGTAGGAAGACTTGCCTGGGAAGAGGTCGTTTTCTGTTCTTTGCAAAGAGAGAGAGAGAGAGAGCCCCACTGTGTGCAAATCCAGACCGCGGGGCTGCATGCGCAGAGGGCTGCCCAAGCGCTGAGTGTCCCGCCCCCGCACCCTGGCCCCCGGGGCCCCTGGAGCTCACAGGTTGTGACGCATTCGGACAGCTCCCCAGCCAGCAGAGAGCCCAATCCCCAGAAGAGGCCAAACAGCACGTAGCACTGGATGGATGAATGAATGAATGAATGAATGAAAGAAATGCAAAGAGTTCAGGGTCTGATGTGCCCCGCCCCTGACACCTGGTACAGTCATAGAAGCTCAGCTCTCCCTCCCAGCTGCCTGTCCCTGGGAGCTGAGCCCCCAAACCCCGCCCCCGGATGGAGGGTCCCCCGACTCTGTGTTGAAGGAGAGAGCCCGGAAGTAAGGAAAAGTGGCCAAGTGGCTGCGGCAGCCTCCCCTCCCCCATGGCGCCCCACGGCCCACGGTCCCCAGCCCAGGGCCGCAGTGACCAGCAGGGAATCGCTCCACTATTAAGACCCATGATTTGTCTCTACAAGCAGCAAAATTAACTAGAACAGCTAATTAATCAGCGGAATGTGCAGCATCTCTGTTGTTTTTAATTCCTCGGCCACATTAATGCATTATTGGTTTACTCTGGAGCTGATTCACGGGCCGGTCTTGATCCCCTTATCTCGAGGCTGCCAGCTCCAGGCTGGACGGGGAAGAACTTCTTGCTGCCGATTTCTAGCCCTTCAAATCATCTCTAAGCACATTAGAGTCACATAAACAGGACGTGTAATGAGACAGCGCTACTTTGCTTTGATACTTTTAATTACCAGACCCAGAAAGGCCCGGGGGTGGGAGGGAGGGGCAGGTCTAGGAGAGACGCTGGGGGCCTGAGGACGCACACGAGTCACCCGTGACAGAAATGACATCAGAGCTGGCCAGCGCCTCCCTGCGGCGCCCGCCACCCCAAGGCTCCTTCTCCTCCAGGAAGCCTGTGGAACTTCCCGAATGGGGAGATACCAATCAGGGACTGTTCTTAATTCTCACAGTCGTGTAGTCAGTCATCAAACATTTTTTTGAGCACCTACTTTGTCCAACTCCACTCCAGCTATTGATGCTACGTCAATGACCAAAGGAGACATCAGTGTTGGACCCCATGGAGTACGGATTCGAGCAGGAACAGAACAACAAGCATAGCGAGGAAGCGTGTTGCAGAGTTTGTCCCCGGCGGGAAAGGATCAGCCTTGGGCTGCTGAATCTGCACATCTCACTCTGGATAAGCCTTTCAAGGATATGTGTGAGGCAAACAGCATTGAAAGCTAGAGTTAGTGTCTCCCACTGCAGCAGGGGACAGGCATGCTTCAGACTTTGCTTCATCGCTTGTCTTTCCTGGAGCAAAGGGTAAACCCGCTCACCGTGTGTTATAAAAGAATCAGGTTCCCCAAGATCGGGGTCCCCTCCTCTAAGGTAACCCAGTGGGTGGGCAGGTCTCAGCCGACCCTCCTCTGCTCACTGCAGAAACTGCCCTGGAAGTCCCCCTGGGTCAGCTAGGCTGGACTTGGCCTCTGACCGAAGCACAAATGATCAACACCACCCCTGCTACCCTCAGAGGCAGCTGCCCTAGCCTTTCTCCCTGCAGGTGAGGACGGAACCTGTGCAACTGTGGCTGCGTGAGAACAAGAGGCAGCGTTAGGGACACTGGCTGAGCGTCCCCGACTGGCCTGCCCCAGGTGGCCACTGATCACCCGGGTCACCCATCACTGCAAGCCCGTTCGTCCCAGCACTGTGCCGAAGGTCATGCATAGCTCCGTTCAGATGCTGCGCGTGTGTCCTCCCTGGGGGGTGTCCTGGGGGCAGGACCCACTCTTAAGTGTCTCCAATCTGTCGCACCCCTGGCACACTGCTCAGCTCCTCAGAAGTCACCGATACTTTCCTGGTGACAGCACCAAGCCTCCTACTCAGGCCAAGCACCGCATCTGTCCTTAACACAGACTGCGGAGGGGTTCGGGGGATGGAGAGGAAGTCACCCTGGGACCGGGCTGCTGGGGACACAGTGTCCTCCCATCTCACCTGCCCCAGTTCTCCCCCTGCACCTAGGACCCAGCCGGCGGCCCCTGCACCCAAGCCTCTCTCCCTGGGGAGAAGCCCGGGGGGTGTGTTGGGGGGGGGGGGAGAGAGGCTGGTTAAGCACTTTTCGCGTCTGCATCCTGCTCCCCAGCCTCCGCCACTATTATTGGTAAGTGAACCAATTTTCTCTCCTGACATCTGTAGCTCTTAGCAGTGAATATATTTGAAAAACCCTTTATGATGACTTGAAATCTTCCCTGCAATTTGATGCCTGATATTTCTCCTTCCTCGCTGAATGGTTCTTTCAACTCATTACTTCTTACACGGCAGACCTGCCCAGCCCCCTCACCCATACACAGCACCACGGACTATTGAGCCCCTCCCTCGCCCATGACCCACAGGGCCGCGGACCTGGCCCCCGGCCCCTCCCGCCAGTCTGGAGGCGCCCCCTTCTCCAAGCCGCAGCGATTCTGTGGGAAGGAGGAATTCTCGGGAGAGATGGGTCTCTTCCTCTCCCACCCACGGGGAGCCGCAGGCCTGCCACCCCCTGCCTGCTGTCTGATAGTTTCCAATTCCTGCAACCACAAGCAAGAAAAGCAAGTTTTCTTCCAGTGGGAAATACAGTTTGGGATTAGCGATGATACCCGTGGTTGTAATAACAACACAAATTAGAGTGGGGCTTGGAACACTCGGCTGCTGTTGGTGCGGGCTGCGGGTGGGGGCACCCGGGGCCCTGCTGGACTCTGAAGTCCCCACTGCAGCGTCCCCTCACGCAGTGGCCGTGGTGGTGGCGGAGGGGGCAGTGAAGGCTCTAACAGTCCAAGTGTCCTGGATCCCAGGTTAACACTGTCACCATCTGCCAACTCCGTGTGTGCAATACCAGGCTCGGATGGCAAGCCCGCCCGCCCGCCCGCCACGGGCACTTCCTGGCGCCTTCCCACCGGCAGCCGGCAGGATGCCCCTGGTCCCAGACCCGAATCTCCCTTTCCAGGAGCACCTGTGACTACGCATTCACGCATGCACCTAACAAATACTCACAGTTCCCGTGCACCGGGCACGTGCCGGGGAGCGTGCCTGGAGCTGGGAGGGCAGAGAGGTGCAGAGCCAGCCCAGCGGCCTGAGCTCACGTGCAGCACGAGGGAAGGACAGGGGAGCAGCCGTGCAGGACCCAGGCGCTGGCGGCGCTGGCTGCGGGAGACGGAATAGCCGGAGGCCAGGCATCTCTGGGGCGAGGCTGTTGAGGTTCGCACCCTGGCTAATTGTGGGTTCTGGGGTGGCTTCAACTTTGCGCCTTAATTCCCCCAGCTGTAAGTAGGCTTGTTGATGGCACTTGCTCCCGGGGCACACGGAAAGCTGTTGGGATGGGCCTGGTGGGTGGGGAAAGCCGGGTGCGTGCAGCCCTCCCTGCCGGGAGGAGGGGTCTCGGTGGCTTCCTGGGACTTCTGCGGCCAGAGGGCTTATGGGATGGATCCTCAGTTTGCCTTAAAGCTTTCTGTGCTCAGCACGGAGGGGGGCCACTGGATACGCCATCCCCCCACCTGGAGGGGGCCTTGAGGTGCCTCGGACTGGACTGGCAGGTGGGCCACTGCTGCCCGCTCCACCTGGAAGTTTCTATGGCTAGAGCAGGGTCTCCTCGTAGCCCGTAGTTGGACTCTGCCCAGCGGGCTCAGGTGAGGCTGGGGAGGGGCTGGGATGCGGCTCAGATGCGGCTCACCGTGGCACTCTGCTCTGAGCCCGGAGGTCTCCTGTCTGCCCCTGGCCTGCTGTGTATGCAGATTGGGTTCTCACCATGGAAATCCCTGCTCCCCAGCTCTGCCCTCTGTGGCCATAGGACAACCTCTGTCCCATCCGCCACGGCAGAGCAGGCACAGTGGGGGTGACGCTCTGCTTAGAAACGCCCATAGGGAGGAGCCAGAGGGGAGCCCCTGTCCACCCGCCATGCAGGGTGGGGCCTCCTGGGGAGCACTCCAAGCCTCCAGACACTTACTGTTTGCTTTAGCTCCTAAAAGAATTCCCAGCTCTCAAACAATAAGCTTTTGCTTCACTCCTCCATGCAAGTAAGAATGGGCCTTGTTCTCCCCATTTCACAGATAGGGCAACTGAGGCTTAGAAAGGTGAACAGGCCGGCGCCGCGGCTCACTAGGCTAATCCTCTGCCTAGTGGCGCCGGCACACTGGGTTCTAGTCCCGGTTGGGGCGCCGGATTCTGTCCCGGTTGCCCCTCTTCCAGGCCAGCTCTATGCTGTGGCCCGGGAGTGCAGTGGAGGATGGCCCAGGTGCTTGGGCCCTGCACCCCATGGGAGACCAGGAAAAGCACCTGGCTCCTGGCTCCTGCCATCGGATCAGCGCGGTGCGCCGGCCGCAGTGCGCCTGCTGTGGCGGCCATTGGAGGGTGAACCAACAGCAAAGGAAGACCTTTCTCTGTCTCTCTCTCTCACTGTCCACTCTGCCTGTCAAAAACAAAAAAAAGGTGAACAGTCTTACCCAAGTGCACGTAGCAAATAAAGGCAGCACAGACCCTGCAGCCACAGCCTCCCAGCTCTGAATCCCACGCTGTGTGTGTGTGTGTGTGCGCGCGCGCACGATCCCTGCTTGCACCCAGGGGAAAGCTGGGACACACACAGCAGTGAGAGAGGCGGAACAGGAGCAGCATGGGGGGACAGCCACTTCTCTGGCAGCCAGAGGGATCCTTTGTCCCTCCCCTGGTCTGGAGCCTGGGGGGCGGGCCCCTGGGCGAGTGAGACCACTCGGCCCCGCGGGTGGGGTTGCTGCCGCAGAGCCATTACCAAGGTGATTCATGAGACCCCTTCCACGCCACACACAACCCCAGGGCTCTGGGGACTGCCCGGCCAACACTGCAGGGCTTGCTAACTCAGCCTCAACTCAGATGCCAGTCGGGAGAGGGAGCAGGGGCCCCCGTACGGGACAGGGGTGTGGCAACCGTGGGCAGGGTCGTTTGCTGCTCACTCTGAAGGGCGTAAGGATCTTCCCAGCCTCAACCACCACTGACGGAAGACCCAGGCCATCCTTGTGAGAGCCCCACCTTCCAGATGGGAAAACTGAGCCCCGGAAAATGAAGAAGCCGCCCTTGCCAGACCTGTCCCACGCACAGGGCTCTGTCGAACCCAGGAAAGAGGGGAAGCCCCCCCCCCCGAGACCGTGCCCATGGTGTCTTGCTCTTGGTACAGTTCTTCGCGTCCCACAGACTCAGTAATCCCACGACTCCTCACGAGGTTCACAGAAGATGAAACTAAAGACAAGTTTAGGGGAGTTGGGCCGGCGCCACGGCTCACTAGGCTAATCCTCCGCTTGAGGCACCGGCACACTGGGTTCTAGTCCCGGTCGGGGCTCCGGATTCTGTCCTGGTTGCCCCTCTTCCAGGCCAGCTCTCTGCTGTGGCCCGGGAGTGCAGTGGAGGATGGCCCAAGTGCTTGGGCCCTGCACCCCAAAGGAGACCA